AAGGTGAAGAGTCGCAGAGATCTTGGATGCAAAATCATTCAATTGCGAGCACAGGCGTTTTAGGTTGTTGTCCAGACGGAGAAATTCGACTCGAACTTTCTCGAAATTACCATCGTAAATGGTAATGCATCTCTTGAAAAATCCGATTTCAGAACTGATGTCACCGAAGTCGAGTACGGCAGACTGAACAGATGCTAGTTCAGCCTGATACATGGCCATAGTGCGTTGACTCATGTGGAGTTGATCAGTCACAACGACACTACTCGAACTTGGAGAAAGATGAGGTGCGAAGGAGGGCGCATCCTGACTCACAGATACGATATGATGTTTTTCCGGATTCGGAGACTCAGATCCGCTGGACAAACGTTGAGAATGCATCTTCGACTTGAGCGAGATGTTGATTCGAGCGAAGGCACACACGAAAAGACTGAGTAAGCAGTCTAGAGACAACGGTTGCTCGATAGATCGAGGGAGAGATCCGAAGACGACAGAGTCGGTTGACTCTCCAATCCGAGATTGAATTTCTACAAACATGCTTGTAAACCGTTGACTCAGAGAAAATTTACTCGCTAAAGAAACCAAGAGGAATATTATTCGACCAAATGATATCCATGAATATGTCCGTACCCCGTAAAATCGAAAATCGATGGGAAAGAGGTACTGCCCCAATTAGCTGAATACTTCCTGAAGCGTCAAGCGTACTGCCATGTGTACCTAAGTCAGTGCTAGGTGAGACGTTGGTGTTGCAACATCTTAGGGCACAATCGTGATGGCTGACTTTTGCCAGACACCAGCAAGTGTAGACGCATGGAGGTACATCCTACCGCTGACAGATGTTGGTATCATATCCAACTACCGAGATGCTAGACTACCCTGTCTGTGCATCAGTCCTAATTGTGACGAGGACTACGAAATCAACCATAACAGAATTTTGTATCATCCAATGTTTGGTGGACCTTACTGGAAATGCATCTGGAATCCAAATCAGATTCCAGAGACAGTGGAAAAATATCCACAGCTGACATCATGTGTGTTACGCCTCAGGACAAAATTCGAGGTCCAAGTGGCACTCACAAGGGAGGTACCAGAACTGCCCCCTCGGGATTTCGACGAGATAGTGCGGGATTTGAAGGTCGACTCGAGTCTAGAAAAACGCCATATGTCCTTGCGGCAGGTGGGCCCTTTTGACCGAATAACTCGACCACCTTTCATATTAGAGAATCTTCAAGCATTAGTCCGGATTTGATTATCTGTCCCTGGAATGCTCCTGAAAATGCTAGCCTCGGTGATAAACAAAGCTTGGAAGAGTTCGGAGATATATTGGTGGATTGGAGATAGATCCATCCGTCTCAATTTTCAGTGGTGTCATTTTCCGCGTTCACGGAGTTTGTTTTTGTTTCACGTATTTCGCGCAGAGCGCGCTTCGCCAGTTCTGTGGCATCTTCTAGCACGAGCGAATCGTGTTCTTGATTGTCCTGAAGAAGCTGAATTTTGTGTCTGCGATGACGTTCAGGTTGGAAAATTTCCTAGCATTGCTCCAATGCCAAATAGCTTCGATGAATCTGGATCCAAGCGCAGCTGAAGCAGCTAATGCGATCGAGAAGCAAGCCGTGAAGGAAGCGATGAAGGGTTTCCGGGAAATGGAAGACCAAGACTTCATTGAGGTGAAGGATTCTACGGAGCTCTACGAGTCGGAGTACAAGGATGAAGAGTATCAGCCTGTGATCGAAGACTTACAAGAAGCGGGTGGGGACGAAGGTTTCACGCTTGAATACATCGATAAAGTGCTGAATTTTATCGATGCTCACCCGAATCGGTCCTTCCGTAGCCTACAGAATCAGTTCAAGAGGCTGCGGGACAAGTCTTACATCAGACGATTCAGAGTATATAGGGAGCACATGGGAACCCATAGAGCTCGCTACTTCGAAGTGTCGAAATATTGCAAGGAGATGTTTGACTACTCGCGAGCGAACGGATGCATCGTCCACGATAGAACGATCAGGATGTGGGCTCTTCAGAAAGCCAGAAGGCTCGGTCTTGATTCATTCACGGCATCCCGCAGTTATATCGCGAGATGGAAGAACGTTTATCGAGTGTCATCCAGGAAGATCGTGAAATTCGTCACCTACAAACATCAAAGAGAGCGAGAACTGATCGAAAATGAGACCTTGGCCTTAATTCTGGCCCATATCGATGACATAAACGGAAAACACGATCCGATGGAGGTTTTCAATACAGACCAGTCGGGGTTTAACTACATCGTTCGAACAAATCGGACTCTATCACACACTGGTGAGCGAGACACAATCGTCGCCGTCAATGCTCTCGGACCGTTGACCCACAGCTATACAATCCAACCGTTATTGAATATGGACGGTTACCTCGTCGGTAAATTGTACGTGAATTTACAAGAAAGAGACAATGAGCTCGGACCGCGTGTGCTCGCACAGCTGCCAAACTTCCCGAATTTGTACATAACTTGCTCAAAATCAGGGAAGCTGACCAAAAATTTGGTGAGAAGGTGGGCCGATACGGTGTTTAGCGACGTCCTCAATCGGCTTCACGGAAATGAGTGCGTTCTCT